TGACGCCAACAAGAATATCTTATGTTGTCTACCTTGCGTGCTACGGGCGTCAGAAAAAAAGTGTTCGGCGTTCCCCCAACTTCCCCTACAGCAAGTGCTTCAACAAGTAAAATGCTGTTGGCGTTGAATTGACTAAATATCGTTCTTTTGGTCTTATTTATAGTTCGAATTGTATAATTTTTTATTTACCTATTTCAAGTAAATATCCATTCCTATGTATAACGGAAAGTCAGCGTGGGTTCAGCCTAGTCGTTACGCGCGTTTGGCAAGCGATAGAAAATGATCTATAATTGTGCTTGTCATGAAGACTGGGAAAAAAATAAACAGCTGTGGTTTTCAAAAAGGGCCAAAATCCCCTTTGTAAGAAAGTGAAATATCTTGGATATTTGAGGAAAACAATCTAAGATCGAGGCGAGACCACACGATAGACGATGCAGGAACAAAAAAGTACCTACAAGAATGATCTGACAACCGAATGCCTCCTCGTAAACCTGTTTTGTGTGAAGTGCATTTTCTTGGGACTACATTGCAAGTAAAAATTCATTTGTATCAAAGGAGCATGGATTTCTGATTGCCCTATAAAGTTGAAACTTGAAGCTTGGTGACACCTTTAACATGCATGCGGCTCGACACAATCAGATACTCTTGGTGCACACATGGAACCATTTTAGACAAAGCTGCAGATTGATGATGACGCAATGATTTATGCAATGATTTTTGACTATTATATTAAAGTTTTGGAATACAACACAGCTACACGACTAGTTTTATTTTGAACTATATAAAAAGGGTACCATTCTTCAAAAAAGAAGAACCACGCAGTTGCACGTGCTCTGGAAGTGGTGCAACATCAGTTAGAGGTGCGCACCGGTCAGATTCGGGTTCAGCGGTCATTTTTGTCCCAGAAACCACCCTTTGCTAAGCTCTACCCAATTTTGCGTTATTCGGCCCAAAATTGGGCCTGCTTCCCCTGACTAAAAAACACGTTTGTGTTTCTGAGCTCAAACTGCATCATAGAGACACCTTTTTGTCGGCAAACCTCAATTAAAAATTGTCATTTTTATTAACCAGTGACCTCTTCTTCGATGTAAATTGTAATCGGCTAAAATGGCTTCGAACGGCAGAGACGACATTATTTTCGTACTATTTGATAGCTAAAACGGACCATATAACAGGAGTCACATGGCCTATACCTACATACATGCCTTAAAATTTCCGTGATCTTTTGCAACCTAGCCTGACCTAGCTTTAAACTCAAACATATCAAGTACAGTCTCGCAACCTCATTCAGCATTCATCTGTGAGCGCGAGAACCAAATATCAGCTTGACGTGAATTATTTGGCGGCAGCCCAAAACAGAAGTGATAACATGCCTAAACGTTGATAATTTTCACGTTCAACTGGCTTGTGACGCATCGGTGACCTCGAAGTCAATACAAGAACGTTTCGCTCGACGTTTTTTTTTTTTAGAACTATTAACCCTCGCCCGGATGGGGGGGGGGGGGCGGGCGTTATTGGCCACACCTGCCAGTTTTTTGCGCGTCGTCGAAAACTGCGGCGCGCAGCACCGCGATACTTGGTAAGTCAACTGCAACCAATCACTGAAGCGCCCAGACAACTACTGTCCACGGAGCATACCTTGGTACATAACAGAAAGACCCGTTTTCGAATAAGTGGGTTGGGCGCACGCAAACATCCGACAACATATGACATTATTCTACTCGTACTACGCAGGACCTGCTGGTCACGTTTGGCTAAGCTGCCTCCCCGCACTGCTTTTGCACTAACCAGTCCCTGCAGAGCCATTTATAGCATCCTGTGCCAGAGGGTAACACGCACCTGGAAACCGGTATCACAACGGCCACAGTCCAGACATCGGGATGGGTGGCCAGCAACAACAATCGAATTCGGACACATTTCTAAACGACCGACACACAGTCGACACGAGACTCTGTCGGCAGGCACAAAAAAAAAACTACTCAAACTGATAAGGGCTCACAAAACAGCGGTCCAGCGCCGCCCGCTTTGTGTGTCGAGGTGAGCTGGGGCAGTGGTACAGAGGTACACACAAACAGCCCAACTGCAGTCGGCCGGCGAGCGCCGCACGGAGAGGGAGGCACGCGGCTGGTCTGCGGTGCGTGCCAGGGCTGCCGACCGATCGCTGAGCGCCGTGGGTAGCGAGTGCGAAGTATCGCTGTGAGGCTGATCAGCGCCGGCGACTGACGCGGTGCCTTCTGAGGGCACAGCGCTAGATCCTAATCGGCCGAGGAGTGTGCTGACAGCACCTCGGTGGTCACCCAGGCAGATAGACAGCCATTAGAGACCACGACTAGGCGAGACAAAGGTCAGCGTCCATCGCTTCAGCTGTGTCCCGGAGCCGGGGTCCTTCAACAACCAGATACAAGGTTCTACATATCACAGGAATAATAGTCCCAGAACGGAGGCCAAGCACATGCCAGACGAATAGCAGACAGTCGTCTTGCTGACGGAAAGTCAGAGCGGTGAGCAGCAGCCTGTTGGACCTGCCACTCCACAATGAAGACACACAGTGTGCAGCTGCGGGGCGGCCTCAAGATGCCGCTGCTAGGGATCAGCTGCCCGGCCGGCGGAGAGCGCAGGGATGTGACCGCCGCCGTGGAGGCCGCCCTGCTGGCCGGCTACCGGCACATCGACACCGCCTTCTCACACGGCCACGAGAGGGAGGTGGGCGCCGCCATCAACGCCGTCATCGCGTCCGGCAGACTCAGCCGCAGCGACATCTTCGTGGTGACCAAGCTGCCCATGACGGGCATGCAGGCCGGCCGGGCCGAGGCCTACCTGCGCAGATCTCTGCAGCTGCTGGACCTCGAGTACGTCGACCTGTACCTGATCGAGCACCCGGTCGGTCTAAGAGAGAAGCTCACACAGAACGGCGAACATGGCGGGACCACAAACGGCACCGTGACGAACATAAAGAGCGAACTCCAGCAGCAGAGAAGGCGCTCTGCGCACAACAGAAGAACGAGTTTTCAATGTGACATCCTAGCGACAAGCCGAGTTAGCTACAGGCATACAATCACCGAAGGCCGCAGGCGCACTGTGTCGCTTCGATCGGCATCCCTCGCGGACAGAAACATCAGCCTGAGCTTATTGTCACCCACTGAGACGAATTGTCTGGAGCTGGACCTGGGAACCGACCTGCTGGCCGTGTGGCGTGACATGGAACATCTGGTTCGGCTTGGTCTGACCAATAACATCGGCGTGCGCAACTTCAGCGTTCATCAGCTCACCAAGGTTGTGGCGGCGGCCGAGATCGCGCCGGCCGTCCTTCAGATCGAGTGTCACGCCTATTTCCAGCAGCGCGAGCTGCGCCGGCTCTGCCAGAAGCACAACATCGCGCTGACGGCGTTCGGAGCGCTGGGAGAGACTCCCGGCCAGTGGCAGACGGTGACGAACGGCAACGGCATGGTACAGGGAGTGCCGAACGGCAACGGATCGTCCGAGATATTCCAGAAAGGTACTGGCGTAGTCAGCGGGATCCAGAACGGTACCGGTGCGGTTGAAATGATCCAGAACGGAAACTGCGTGGCCATGAACATGCTGAGCGGGATTGGCGTGGTCAAGAGTATTCTGTACGGAAAGGGAAAGACCGAAATGATCAAGAACGTTAACGGAACGGACAAAATGATGCAGAGTAAAAAAGGAACGGCCGAAAAGATCAAGAATGGAAGCGACTCAGACGAGAGCAACCTGAATGGAAACAACATGGCTAACAAGATGACAAACGGGCACGGCGTGACCCAGACGATTATAAACGGGAGCAGCGTGGCCAACAAGCTACGAAACGGCATTGGGGAGACGGAGGAGATACTGAGCGACGACGGCGACGGCGAGGAGAAGACGCCGGACCTGCTCCACAACCCGGTGGTCCGGCTGGTGGCGCTCCGACACAAACGGACTCCGGCGCAGGTGCTGCTCCGCTTCCTGGTGCAGCACAACATCGCCGTCATCCCCGCGGCGGCCAGCGACGTCGCCGTCAAGGAGGACAGGAGCATCTTCAACTTCCAGCTGGACCAGGTGGACGTGGAGGCGCTCCGCTCGCTGGAGCGCGGCCAGGCCGGCCGGCGCTTCTACTTCCGCGACGCGTTCCCCGGGTACGAGAACCACCCCGAGTATCCGTTCTGAGCCGAGTTTGAACGCTCTCTCGGGAGTTGCGAGTGATGGTCGACTGATGTATAACTATCTTTTGCACGGTGCACAGTGCACACTGTGTGTTGCAGGGCTATCTACAAGTAGTTTATGGGAGTGTATTTTTGTTATTAGTGTAACCCAGAGACACATGAGTAGGCAAGAATTGTAAGGAGGTAGAAACTACGCAATCGTACATTTTACCACATGGAAATTGGGAAATGGTTCATTCTTACGTGGAATCGGGAGGCAGAAGACATCGATCCTGCACTTTACTGGCGAATTTGTAATGAACTTGTATTCAATTTCTGCCAACCACATCCCTTTTCCTACCTATATATTTTCCACAGCGAAACGGGAGATCAGATCGTTACAATATACGTTGCGATGTTACGTGCAGAAGGGATAATAAGCGAGATCTCGCTGTGACAAACTGAGCCGAAATCGGCCAGTTTTCCCAGGCGATAGAGATTAGGAAACCGATAATGTTCGTTGGTACTATGGTTGCATATTGCTCCTACTGATGAATTGGCCGGCGCTATTATGTTTGTTGCATGAGTTCTGCTTTTGAATGAATATAATTGCATTGCAAAAAAATCAACCTTTACTAATATTAAAAATATACGAAAACAGATCGAAGGCATAAGCAAGTATAACGATTTTTTTTTTCAAACCTAAATAAACCCAAGAATGATATTGCTTAAAGAGTGCAGGTCAGAATCGCTGCAATCGTTGCTTCTCATCGTTGCGAATAAAACCGACTACCAGCACGGAGTAGTCGGGGATCACTCAAGGTCTCTCTTATCTCCCCCCAGAAAAAAAAAAAACAGTCAAAGGCATGACCATTTAGGACTTGATATAGCACGTTTGGCAGTACAATGGAAGATATAAGCGACTAGTCTCACGTCTGCACACAGCAAAAACGATGCAAAACGACGACACCGACTCACTGCGGACGGTACAGAGGAGCAACAAACCTCGCGACACTGCCAGGTCAGAGGATCTGCAATGCGTCACAACAAAATACATTTCTTCCTCTAAATATGCTAATAGGACAACCAACAAACAGCTGTTTGTGAATAAGAAACGCGTAACATTTTTCACTTAGAATGGACACTCGGGGTGACGTTCAACGCCAGGGAACGAGAGCATGGTGAAGCTTCTGCCGGCCTCTCCTTGATTCAAGAAACGCAGGGCTTCCATGTCTAGCTCGTCCAGCTTGAAGCTGAAGATGTCGCCGTTCTGCTTGATGCGACCAGCGTTGGTTGACTTGGGGATGACGATGATGTCCTGCTGGACCAGGAACCTGAGCAGCACCTGGGCCGCCGTCCGTTTGTGTTTCTCGGCCACCAGACGTACCACGGGGTTGTTCAGCAGGTCGGGCAGCTCGATCTTGACGCCGCGCTTTTCATAGAGCACCTTCCTGCCGGGAGAGGCCAGAGGCGCGTAGGCCGTGATGGCGATGTTGTACTTCTTGCAGACCTCGCGCATCTTCAGCTGCTGGAAGTAGACGTGACACTCGACCTGGTGTACTGCAGGTGGGATCTTGGCATTCGACACGATCTTGAGGACCTGTTTGTCGGTGAAGTTGGACACTCCAATCGACTTCGCCAAGCCCAAGGAGACCATCTTCTCCATGTCCTTCCATACGGAAATCAAATCGGTTGAGCAGTCCAGAACAACCTTACCGTTGTCCATCGGGAAGGGGTCTGACTCACTCCTCTCAGCGAATCCTAGCGGTGCGTGAACCAGATACAGGTCAACGTAGTCAAGACCGAGAGCCTTTATCGACTTCCTGAGGTACTTCTCTACCTTACCCGCCTGCATCCCGATCATCGGCAGCTTCGTCACTACGAAAATGTCGCTTCTCTTGACCTTACCGGTGGCGACGGCGGCCTTGATGCCGCGGCCGACGCCGTCCTCGTTCAGGTAGTTGTAGGCGGTGTCGATGTGCCGGTATCCGGCCAGCAGGGCGGCCTCCACGGCGGCAGCTACCTCATCTCCCGGTGCCTGCCAGCAGCCGAGGCCGAGCAGCGGCATCTTCTGTCCATTGTTGAGCTCAACAGACGATCCCATGGTTCGTCACTGACGTTTCCGCTTCACACTGAGAATCAGCTGGGGGCGGTGGGCGAGCGGAGATGGACGCTGCGGATAGCACGGACTCTGAGCTCCGAATGCGGCCGCCGGCCCAGAGAGGGCCTTTATCGAGCCGCCGGCGACACGTGAATGCCCTGTCCTCAGGTGGGGACCATGACCAGCACTGCGAACCGCCCAGAACCGTGTAGAAAAGCCCAGTCATGCTGACATACTGCATACGAGTATGCCAGAGAGTCGGTCCATCGCGCTGTACTCAAATGTACTCGTCTAACATTGTTTGATTGCTTTTACTCACAAGTACCTCCACACGAACACGGCCACTAGATTGGTCAGTGCGTCCAACTGCCTATCGTGTGTCCTCGTATGATAGCATTCGGCTCCGACTGCGCGGCGGGACGGCGCGGTGCTGCGTCATCCGGCCAACCCGCGTCGGGGGGACGCGCCGGCCAAGGTCAGGGAGACGGACAGAGCGAGCGGCCCGGCCGGTGCCGACCGGTCGCAGTTCGGACCCGACCAAGCCGGACACGAACCGTGAGAGATGCTCAGGTAGACAACAGGTCAGACAATCACCCTTTTATAGCGCTCCGCAGGGGACGAGTTGAAGGTCAATGTGGTGTGCCCTTAAACAAAACAGCTGCAGGTTTGGTGAAAAATGTGATTACCTTACGTTTTAGAAGACAAACTAGTGTGAGAGACTGGTCGAGAGATGTGTGATGCACATCGTGTCGTCGTTCCCCAGTTAATAGTCTAATATCATGTAGTAAGCCAACGCCAACATCCAGAAATAGTCTAATATCATGTAGTAAGCCAACGCCAACATCCAGAAACATGCCGCTGTCGTCCATTGCCACGAGCCCGCTTCAGCTTAGGATGAACTTTATTCACACAACTCCGAGGCTACAATATAAGCAGAGCAACACCGGCACCGAAAGTAGCTCATGGAAGTCAGAAATGACACTATCAACACCTCAACCAGGCACGGCCGAGGCTGCATCGACACTGGCGTGAGACAAAACGCATCAATTATTACGGCACAAAGCAGGAGTCGCCGAAAAACCTCACACACCACAGATTATTTGTACATAATGCTAAGCGCCATGCACCAAAACCAAAGCAACAAATACAAATACCACGAAAATATCTCTCGAATATCTCTCCAAACGCACCTGATGACTTCCAGAGAAACATAGGACATTTGACCATCAAAATAGTGCCAAAAGGCTCAGTCTAGTGCGGAGCTTCGGGATGCATGTCGGAGTTGGGGAACAGGTCCTTCATTCGGACGATTCTGCCGGCCTCTCCCTGGTCCAACAGACGCAGAGCCCCCATGTCCACCTCGTCCAGCTTGAAGCTGAATAGGTCGCCGTTCTGCTTGATTCGTTCCACTTTGACTGATTTGGGGATGACGATGATGTCCTGCTGAACCAGGAACCTGAGCAGCACCTGGGCCGCCGTCCGTTTGTGTTTCTCGGCCACCAGACGCACCACGGGGTTACTAAGCAGGTCCGGCAGCTCGACCTTCATCCCCATCTTTTCCATGAACATTTTGCTGCCGGGCGATCCCAGTGAGGAGTAGGAAGTGAAGGCGATGTTGTGCTGTTTGCACATCTCCCGCATCTCTGTCTGCTGGAAGTAGACGTGGCACTCGACCTGCTGCACAGCCGGCGGAATCTTGGCGATGGCCAGGATCTTGCGGACCTGCTTCACGGTGAAGTTGGACACGCCGATGGACTTGGTCAGCCCCACGGAGACCATCCTCTCCATTTCCTTCCATATGGCGATCAGGTCAGTCGAGAAGTCCATCAGAAGCTTCCCGTTTTCGAAGGGGAACACATCTGTCTCGCTCCTCTCCACCAGACCGATAGGAACGTGGACCAAATACAGGTCTATATAATCCAGGCCCAGCGACTTGAGCGACTTTCTCAGGAACTTCTCCACTTTCCCAGCCTGCATGCCGATGTTTGGCAGCTTGGTCACCACGAATATGTCGCTTCTCTTGATCTTACCAGAGGCGATGGCGGCCTTGATGCCGCGGCCGACGCCGTCTTCGTTCAGGTAGTTGTAGGCGGTGTCGATGTGCCGGTATCCGGCCAGCAGGGCGGCCTCCACGGCGGCAGCTACCTCATCTCCCGGTGCCTGCCAGCAGCCGAGGCCGAGCAGCGGCATCTTCTGTCCATTGTTGAGCTCCACAGAGGGCACCATGGCTGGTTCGACTATCCAGGATACGTTTAAGTCTTGGGGAAGCTATAGAACGGCGCGGCGAAGAAGCTACAGCCGTTGTAGGCGGTGCGAGCGACGAGCCTCAACTGGCAACGGGTTACCGAGGCTCGCTCTTATCAGGGGACCAAAGGGCTGATGCAACTAATGGCAAACCATGACCAGCAGCCGAGACGTCGCGAACACTTCACGAAAAGACGAGTCATCCAATAGCGGAAATAGCGAGCAGTGGAATGTACACGAGATATTTAAAATGTAATAAAACTCATACGAATAAAAGTTGAGATTGGGCCAGCACTTGATGTCACACTGATAGGTACCGAAGCCCTGAAGCTGCAGCAGCTGTCATCAGCTTGAAGTTTGAAAAAAGCTGAGGGCGATGAAATTGAAAAAAGAAATAAGTAATGGAAAGTGGGCTTCCGAGTAAGATACAGGGCTAAGCAGGCCTAGCTCGTGCCTCTCTGCATATTGGTAAATTATCTGAACACTGAACAGTCCCTATCACCTGTCCCATGTCGGACAAACTCAACACATTATCTCACGACTATAGACAGACGGACCAAGCGCAGCACATCTCCGACCTGGCACGGACGGTCAGGGCGCGGCCCGCTACCGCAGCGCCCGGGGACCAGCGGCGCCACCTACCTGGGTCAGATAGACGACAGCCTACATTACGGATTCACCCCAGAACCAGCTGGCTGACACCGACCGACGCCGCTTCTGATCGACTTTTTTAACAGCGTGTTGTTGAGTTCACGCACGTTGGGGTCCAACATTAGGTGCCCTGAATTTAACAGTACTTTTTCGTCGACGTACCTTCAATTAACCGGATATAAATCACCGAGTGTATCTCTAAAGCATGCATTACTGAAAACATTCATTCGAGCCTGAGTTCAGTCACTAGCACGTCTAATGAAAAGGTCACATAATGCACCATCCGACCGTGGCAGCGTGACAAGTGTACTCACCGAGCGGCTCGATGTAGCGTGAGATCTTGCTGACGATGCCGAGCGCGGCGCGGTACTGGCGCAGGTGGTAGAGGATGACGGCGTAGTTGTAGTAGAGCACGCATGTGTCAACGTCCTCCAGTGTCTCCAGACGCTCCGGGCGCAGCTTGGCCTGCAGCAGCGTCACACATTTGAGAGACTGGCAGCCACAGTCACACACAACATTAGCAGAATAAAATATTGTCTTTCAGATTTAAGATTTGGAAAACCATCAAATTTACCAAATGAATATTATCAAACAGGCATACCTACCTTTTCAAAGATGGCCTTCAGAGCCTTTTGGAAGGATTCTGTCTTCTTCAGACCTCCTTTGTAGAACTCTGCTACTGCCTTATTATGGGCCAGTTTGACATCACAGCTTTTGTCAGCAGTCAGCTTCTCCAAAATCTGTACACAGTTTCCATAGTTTCCTTTATTAAACTCTGATTTGGCTTTGACAGCCAACTCCTTGTCAGAGTTACCAGAATTCTTGTCACTTTTTGATGACATGGTCACTCTGAAAAAAGAAAAGTGGCATACATATAAGATACTATTATCTTTTAAAACAAGCATCCACAAACAGTAAGTTAAATGAATGGCCAGTGGACAACACAATGTAGCCACTGTAGCCAATGTAGCCACCACAACAAACCAACAGCATTTGACCAACAAGATCATCAATGACCCATTATTGTTGATTTACTTCCTAACATCTATGCAGGTGTCTTCTGTCTAATCTCAATCAACACTCAAGTCAAGGATGTTAATTATGGTAGTTTTACACTCAAACAAGCACAACTGTCTTTAATCTGCAGCTCAAGAAAACTTCTGTATGTACAATTTAAAGTAAAGCTTTTTATAGAAGTCAAGTGTTCATTCCATACAAGTTTCTCTCATGCATAAGTAATGGATTAGGTGGAATATGAATCATTGCACTCAAAGGATTAATCAACTTCTTTTTGTTCTTCTAGCAACCACATACCTATAAGGAACTTGATGAAAAATAAGCACTACCTAGACCAAGCAGGTGGGCCAGGGAATGGAAAGAAGCCATTGTAGAAAATTGTTTAAGTGGGATATAAAACATTTGTAATTTTGATCTAGTGTTAGAAATGAGCAGGAAACACTTGCTGATTCAGTGGGCATTTGAGGCAAATATCCCACAACAATATTCAATATTGATGAAAATTGACCATTTTTGGAAAAGAAAGAAAGCCGAATAATTACAATAAGGTAGAGTTAGCTTTAAATTGCATGAGGAATTCATATCCAGAGACTCTGTATGGATTTTGGAGGATTTTTTTTAGGAATACCTACTTCCTGTAGCATCACAGGCCGTTTCAAGGCGTGATGCCACTGAGCACTACAGTATTACGTGAATAGCAATATTGTATGATGAAATAAAGAATAATATTCAAATTAAAGTTGAATATTAAAATCAATCCAGTAGCCCCAGCTTCGCGAATTGTTACATCATAGCTAAATTCAGTGAAAAACATTTTCTAGCATGACAAGCCTTTACAATCAAACCTCTAGTACACAACTTGAAACCTTTGTTTGGTGTTTGATATATGATCAAATGCTTAACATATCATCTCATTATTTCGACTTGAAATATCACAAGCCGTAATCGCCACGCCGGTCGGAGCCATATGTGGAAGGCTTTTGGTGTCAATACATACATACATACATACATACATACACTCGGACACTCCAACCTCAGCGCACTCCCACAAGTCACCACATAATGTTCCAACCACAACCACAGTGTACGTTCCAACTTCCAAATCAAGTGTTCACGGGCACCGCACGCCAAAGAAGGGCATACTTTTCTGTAATTGGGCAAGTTAGTTGTTAGGCCTTCGCAATCATTATAAAAGAACATAACTCCATTTTGCGTATCTACCTCATTGCGTTTCAGTAGAATAACGCTGAAGAAATACATACTGTGTTCGGTAGACATCAGAATAATCAGCCATTGGTACTGAATTTTTGTCGACAATTAATGGCACAGCTGTTTCAACTACGAAGAGTTCAAGGGTTAAGGCTACCAAACATTTTTTCATCTTCCAATCTAAAGGATCGAACGTGGGATCGAACTGCGTGCAGTGCACGATCTAGGCCAGATATTTTATCAAGTTTCTATGCAGGAAATGCCTGGCCAACAAATTTACAGAGACAATACTATTGCTTTCACTTAAAGAAATGGCCAGCACAGATGAATTACTTTTCCACATCAGTGAAAAAATAGATGAGCTCCAGGCAAGTTATTATAAATCAAATCTCTTCCATCCGCTGCTTATCCATTTGCATGTGTACCTTTATTTAATTGATGCCTTTATATAAAGCTCAGGCTTTGCAACATAGAAGTTTTAAGTCCTTTTCTGTCAATTAATAGTTGATGTCATTTTTCTTGCATATTTGTGCCAAAGTTATTGAATGAATTGATTCTTGTGTTTGATACTGATAGTGTTCATTGATAAATCTTGTCATGTGATATGCTCAATTTGCATGCTGGTGGCAACAGGCTTCATATGAGCAGTGCTCACTGTTTTGGCTGTGTTTGTCAGGTCCAGCTGTCATCATCTGCAGCAGCAGCCCGGCTCTCGCTGCAGGCTGGCTTGACTGAGCTGCGTCGGACTGGCGGACGACTGGCCAGTGGGGAGGTGTGGCAGCAGGCTGCTCAGAGATGGCGTCTAGCCACTGCTGCTGCTGCCGACCGCTGGACTAGTCTGCGGGAGTTTGTCAGCGAGTTTGATGTCAGGGAGTTCATCGAGACAACTCGATTGCTGGTGCTGACTGAAGGTGAGTAATGGCCCAAAAGAAGCATGTGTGGTTTCTAGAAATGGAGACCCTGTCTCTGATGAGATGGGCGTGTTGATGTGATTCATCTGCTCTCCAATGTATGTGATCATACACAAATGCTATCCACCGAATATCGGGTACTGGTGTGTGACCATTCACATTCGTTCCGCTGACGTTCGCGTCCAACGTAGCAGTCGGGCGCACTATGGTATCGGCAGTCCATTTATAGAAACGTTTCTATTTTTGGAAGAAAGTTCCAAAAATGGAAACGCTAAAAACCAACTGTTCCAATAATGGAAACGCTCCGTTTCTATTTTCGGAAACGCAAGGAGCACATAAACCTGTTCGGTAGTTTCCGCAACAAACCATAGATTTCCGCATCAAACAAAGGCCACCAATCAAAAGACCGCATTTCGCTTCATAATTCCAATGTTGAACAGAAAAATCGGCTGTTGAACAGGCTTGCACGGTCCACTTCCTTTTGTAAACAATAGATTTTTTCATGATAGGTGAACTTTTATGTGTCATTAATGAAATATACCTCATGTTTTTGTGGAAAAAATTGATTTTCACAAGAATGGCAATTTTTTAATTGACAGACTTGCTGTCTGGTATTCATTAATATTTTACATTGCTGTAAAGCAAGCCCTGAATGGCGTGTTGGTGACCACGTGCGGAGATCGTCTTTCCGGCTTTGGAAGGCGGTAAGTTGGAAAATATTTCGTACAGATGCTTCTAAGTGGGCAAACTGAACTTCTTAGCACCCATTTAACTTACGAATGTGTGAAAGTTGGTAGAATGTATGTAAATAATTGCATTAAAGGTCTGATATGTTACTGCTTGTCGGAAGCGATCCAAGCTGTCGTCCAGTTTTAAACGATTCAATTATATGAAAAAGCGATGACAAGGTGTTATAAACAATTTCTATGGATAGGGAAATGCTCAAACTGTACTAATTGCCCACTTTGCACCGTATTAGTTCAGTAGGCCTTCAGTTAGTGCCTGTGTAAGGCCCATTGAATAATGCTTTATGAAGCTCAGTTTCCATTTTTGGAACAAATGACGAATTTTAACTCATGTTGTACATACAGCTCACAGATGCAGTAGGTTATATGTATTTCAACTCTTATTTGCATTTAATGTTTTTAGAAGCACTTTCTGCCTTTCTCATTTCTAATAATCCACGAGAAGGTTGGAAAAGGTGCACGCTCCGACAGCATGAAATGCGAACCGGAGCTTCTGAACCGGCCTGATTAGGCCGAAGTTTAACTCCAACCTTACTTATAAAGCCTTGCTTTTCTTGGGAAGCCAGAGTCTGTTAACCACAATTCAGGGCACATCGCGACGCTTACTGCAGTCACGCATGCATGCTTGAAACAGTTAAAATATGTTATAATGTGGGTTTCGTAAGCAGTAGTAGCTTAGTAGGCAAGACGGTTGGACAGTTCTGGGGTTTATGTAGGTGCCTAGAAATTGGGGACTTTCCCCAGAAGACACATTTTCGTAAGCATTATTGTACCAACATCGGCTTTCGGGCACTATGCCCAAGCAATTGGAGGACCATTCATACGAAATTTAGATGCAAAGGGAAATCACCCATATCGGAACATGTACCGGCATCAATAGCTCGGCAATTACTTAGAGGGCGTGGGGTAGACAGGCCCACATATCAATAATATGGTGCTTATGCCTTTTCCTGTGTTGGCTCATAGTTTCCATTTTTGGAACCTTCCGTTTCCAAAAATAGAACGTTGACAAGGGTTTGTGTCAGGGCATCAGATTCGCCATTTGCGTACAAAAATATTGTTGGATTTTACTGTTTTGGGAGAAAACATATCGACAAAAAGACACGCCAGCTGAAAAGATTACTATTAACTTAAGAAATACAGAAATATGCCTGCTTAAAAATTGGCGTTTCCAATTTTGGAACTGGCGTTTCCATAAATGGAACAAAGTGCCTTCCAAATTTGGAAACGTTTCCTTTAATAGATACGTATCCATAAATGGACTGCCGATACCATAGTGCGCCCGACTGGTAGCGCCGTGTTCCGCACTTTCAGCGAGCACCGTGCACCTGTGTCTGCTGGGCGCCGGGTTTGGCGCCGGCCTGCTGGTCGGCTACCTGGTCGGCCGCGGCCGGCGCGTCCGCACCATCCGACAGCCGGCGCTGATGCGAGCCGTCATCTGCGGGACCTACGAGGGGCTCGACGTAAGTGCAGCGCAGACCTTGTGCGGCGCTTAGCACACACCGTGTTTTGTGCTCGCGATCGACTTAAGTTAACCAAGGTCAACTGATAAGAGAGGAAAAGGATATGCGATGAAAAGATATACACTGTTAGATTTAGGTGCTGGCAGCATGTATGTTTGTCATGTTCTGTAAGTTTTTTTTACAGATAAAGACACATCAAAATATGGCTAAATCGTTGTATATGCTCGTCTTGAGCCATTGGTTGTCGTACCCCCGGTGCACTCTGTGTCATTACGTTACCGCTCTGCCGCTATCGCTGCCTCCAGGGCGTTCTGACCGTGGAGGATCAGCCGCGGCCAGAGCTGGTCTCGCCCACCGAGGTGCTGGTCAGGGTGAAGGCGGCCACCGTGGACCGAGTCGACCTGCGCATCGCCTCCGGCTACGGTCGCGCCCTGCGCCGCCAGGTCAACAGATATAACCCGGTGAGAAGGTGACGTAAATCGGGTCGATAGCGTGATGGAATAGAGATATGGAGCGTGAACTTGCTGGACCGCTGTGTTATGTGTTTCGGCTCTCAGAGGATTGGGCCTTATCACCGTACAGCGTCGCTTTGGCTGGGTTGCACTGTAATGCTTTGCATGTGCTTTTATTCTGTGGGACGCCCCAACATGTTCACTGGTATGCATATGTGATTGGATACAGTGCCTCATCGGTTCTCAAAACCGCCCCTTGGTGTATGACTAACCCATCCTCCCCTCCGCCGCCGTTCCAGCACGTGGACTCTGAGCTGCCGGTGGTGCTGGGCCGTGACCTGGCCGGCGTGGTGGACCAGGTCGGCTCAGAGGTCACCCAGTGGCAGGTCGGCGACCCCGTCTGGGCGGCCGTCCCCTTCTGGCGGCCCGGCACGCTGGCAGAGTTTGTCGTCCTCGAGGAGAAGGAGGTAGGGCGCTGATGGTGGAACATGCTGTGTGTTGTGCTTGGCTGGTGCATCGGTATTTATGCGTATTCGTGGGATATATTGGATGACGTTGAGATTATTGTAGCGCTGGTTTTTGTGACAGGATAGTATCGAGCAATTTATGTCATTCCATCATGAAACAGCCATTCATTAACCGCCTTACGATGCTATCAGCTACTCAACGTACATTGACATCCTCCCACTGATAACTGTTCCGCCCTGTCGACAACACTTCCGACTGATAACTGCTCCACCCTGTCGACAATATCCCCCCGACCCCCGTGCACTGTTCACAGTCACTCACTGACCACCCTTCCCCACCCGCTCCCAGCTGTGTCGGAAGCCGGACGCGGTGACGTTTGAGCGTGCGGCGGCGCTGCCCTACTCGGGAACGGTGGCCTGGAACGCGCTGGTTACGCAGGGCGGCATTGGGCCCGACACGGCACAGGACAAACGGTGAGACAGGCCGCACGCGGGGACAGCTTTAAACGGGGGCCACAAACGGCGACCTTGGCCAAGTGGTGAGTCGCGCCCTATACCGCCCGTGTCAGTGGTAGTTAATCAACGCCGTAAATACTACTTGGCTGCGGCAGCCAACGATCACGCAGGACATTGTATTCGTGTACGACTTCTAAGATAAGCCAACGTGAGTGGGTTCGGGGAAGGTTGAATATTGAACGATATTTGGCCGACCGGAGATCCCCACAACACAGTCACACCTTTTATGGTCTCGCGAGGATGATAGTTTGGGCTCACAGGCCTTCCGTTATGTAAATAGAAATAGTCTTTTTTTTTGTCGGTCAGAAGTTGTGCTGATCTACAAATTTTGTGGTAATCATCGATGTTCATGGTCAGCTGAGAGTTGCAATGAGATAATCAGCTTCTGACCCCACCCCCACTACTTTTCGGCAGGGTGCTAGTGCACGCGGCCGCCAGTGGAGTCGGCCTGGTAGCCACTCAGCTGCTCAAGGCATGGGGCGGTCACGTGACCACCACCGTGTCGGCCCGGCTGGTGCCGCTGGCCCGGATGCTGGGAGCCGATGACGTCATCGAGTACGACACGGCCGACTTGGAGAAGGAGCTGTCGCTGAGAGACAAGTGAGTGCCGCAGTGCTATAGCAGGCTGCCAACGTGAAAGGCAATGTGCTATCGTCTAACGTGCCTTTAGCTCGTATGCATTTGCAATGCATGCTGTAATCTAGCTGGTGCGGGTTTTGACCTTACATTTCACCGGATGCCAGGTTTGGTCTGATGGGGGCATATTTTAGTGCGGCGATTTCCTTGCGGCAGAAACTAGCCCTAGCGCTAGTTTATATTTAAACAGGTGTGTGATCCGGTATTTGGTCTGATGTATGACCCGCCTGTCCCACAGGTTCGACCTGGTGCTGAACACTGCCGGCCCCTCGCTGCACGCCTCCTGCCTGCGCCACTGCGCCGAGACCGGCCTGGTGGTCAGCACGGTGGAGGCGGCCATGCCCTCTGACCGGTTCGGGTTCGTGTTGGGCACGCTGTATGCTCTGTGGATCCGACTCACGCGGCTGGCAGGACAGGTGAGGAGGGAAGAGGAACGGATTGTGAAAGGGCGGGAGTGGGAGGGAAGTGAGCAAGAGAGGGACCGAATACGGCCGAATTTGACAGCTGAGAGGCGGACCTGATGTCTCTTCTGTCGAGGGGAGGAAGGCTGGATAATGATAAGATGGTTGTCGATCGGAATTTGCCTATGAATTTAAAGCTGCAGTTGGATGAAGTCGGATCGCCCTGACATGACTGGGGATTAGCTGATGTAATTTGCGCCCCGGATGCCTCACAGTTTTGTAGTACAGTGTAGCGTTGTATCGTCTAAAAAGGCGTTCGCGATCACAGTCAACACGAGGTGCCTCAGAGCGCCCTCCGGTCCCTCCGAGTTCCTCTGACGCCTTCTGCCCCCTCTGACCGTCCTCCCCGCTACTCGCCAGGTGCTGTTCCTGCCGGAGAGCTGGGGCACGGTGACGTTCTCTGCCGACACGCTGGCCCAGCTGGCCGCCCTGGTGGACGCGCGCGAGCTCCAGGCCGTGGTGGAGCACACGTTCGACTGGCAGGACGCTGACGCGGCCTTCCATTACCTGGCGCGGGGTGACGCCGTCGGAAAGCCGGTGGTCAGCTTTAGGTGCGGCGCAGGGCGGGGAGAAAGGGAGCCAGCGGGATAAGTAGCATCCGAGCTAGCGCAACTTAAGATGCTTGCTGAACGTAGCGCTCTCGGTAGCGGCTCTTTTTCGATCGTTTACTTTACTTACTAATTTGTTTCGAGTTTCATCCTTTTTAACGAATCATGTTTTGAGAATCGTGTTATTACCACGGTCAATAGAGCTCAGAACAGTGTCCGCTGGGCAGTGAGCATAACACTGAATCTTTGTTGAAAAACTCGATTTGGTCATGTGATACTGAAGAGTTTTTCATGCCCCTCTTTCTAACCTGTTGCCGGTGTGTTTTCAGACACTTGGCGCCGCCGCAGCCAGTGACCGAGGACGGATCGTGACGGGCCGGGCCGAGCGCTCCGACTAGCCTCTGGTGCAATTCAGTAGTGCCTGCTCCCTGCCGCGAACCGGGAGAGCTCAATGGCTGGGGAGGGAGGAGAGGGTCGTGCTGGTATAGACAGGACGACACTTCTAGTCGGGGAGAGGGGTGGGAACGAGAGAGAGAGAGCGAACCATGTGTGGCTCGACGATCAGGTTAACCCCGATAACGATCGAACGTACGGTGATGAGAGGACACTATCATGAACTCAGTAGAGACAATATTCTGACGCGATTTTTAGTCGCCCCTTTTTGGACCACTGTTTGTAGTACCGTGTATCTGTGTGGCTGGCGTGTGCCTTGTTACTTAGCGGTCATGGCGACAGGTATATTATCGTCGCTAATTGAGGGCTCGACTTGTTTTAGAGGAAGTCGAAATATATTCATAAAGTGCCAACTGTAAGACGTGCTCCCCCGGTTGTTCCATCCCTATGCCCCGCGCGATTCACGTTGTCAATACATGTGTTTCGTGTGGCTATGGCGTTTATGTGCATGCTACCTGGAACGAAATATCTGTCTCCAATCTCCAATATGAATATTATAATTTAAGTATCTAATATGAACATCAGGGCATTTTACTGATTGAGGGTATCGAAGGTTTAAGGAAAGAAGAGTGATAAAAAGGTAGATGGAAGGAGTGATTGGAAGCAGCCGCCAACCGGATCTTTCTTTGGAGCCTTTGCAATCTTAGGAAGAAAAAGATGAAAAGATCTGGTGATCCGGTGAAATCTTCATGTTTCAACATATAAAATTTAATTGAGGGACTCCAACATGTAACTTGCCCCTGCAAATGCACCGCAAAATCATCGCGGAATTCAGGATCATCAATACCACCCAATACCGCACTCCAGCTTCCCTGCAGATACTTTGAGGGTATTCGTTAATATTAATTTGCTTGCGTCGTTCTACGTCAAACTTGACGCTACTTAGACATTAAACTTTCGATAAAATATGTTCGATAAGCCTTATTAGCAGTTGACGATATCAAAAGTTACCGCTTATTCGAATGCGTATACTTTTGTCAACGATCTGTTATCACTGATATTAGAACACATTACCCTCGCTTACATTTTTTCGTCCGTTTGTTTTAGGGTCTGCGCATAAATAAGTAATTAAGTTTTATTCTGATTCATGCCAGGGTGTTTGCTGGTCAAACTGGGTGAGATGTATCTGTAGGTACACCACCAGATTTTTCGCCACTGCCACTTGCAAAGATCGAATATAAGCAGGCTTCAGCTTAGGCGATTGAGGATAGTAATACAAATACCTGCTGGGTACCTACCTAAGGTGAACTGTGAAGGTGTCAGAAATGTTTGAAAAGATTTTGTCGGTCAAGCCAGAAGGAACATCAATATTGATCATCGGTAAGTAGATATTAACTTAAAATAAAGGATTTATACCAACCATGGACTGATTGTGAAACCAGTGTGTAAGGGCCGTGGTGCTGTTTCCATTTGACTCCAAAACTTGCATTTGAATTGGTCATGCAGTTAATGGCCAGTGCTTGTGCTTGCCTACTCATGATAGTAAATTCTTATAATATCATAGATCTAGCATGAAACTGCCTTGGGGTTCACTGGGATGATAGATCCCCCTTGCAACTTAATCACGAGATCGCCACTGGTTGAAACCTTGCACATGTCGTTAACCTATTAACAGCAGCAGTGTTAGAGTAATTTTCAAGGAGTGGCTTTGTGGACTTATGCTTATACTGACTGACTGTAAATGGTTTCCAGATGCAGGTGACGGCAGCTACAGGCACCTGCTCTCCAGCTATGTACAGCATCGACAGCAGCAGCAGGTGTCGGTCAGCTGGGTGCCGTGTGGACAGAGTGCAGATGAGCTGCCAGGCACCTCTGGGTCCTCTGCCGGCCCGATTGAGCAGTCAGACTCATCTGACCAAGACTGGGAGACTGCGGAGGACATAGGTCGGCAGCTGGAGGCCGCTCTGCCGCTGCCCGGCCCTCCGGCCCGTCTCCTGGTCGTCCGGGATGCCTCCCGCCTGCTGCACTGGCTCGGACCGACTGCGCTCTGCCGGCTAATACGGCGCAGCTGCGACAGAGGTGAGACGACAGACTTTCAATTAGACCTCGTTCTTACACCTTCAGCACAATTCATTGTGGCTCGTTAGGTGACTCGATTTTCCGTCAGCCTCTGTCCGCTTTCGGCCCGGTGCGGCGTCGCCGGTCGTTGACAGTAGCGCCGCCTGTCCGGTTGTTTCGCCGCCAGGCCACCAGGTGGTGCTGGGAGTACTGGAGGAGGCCGTCCCGGAGGAGCACCTCTCCCAGCTGCGTCACTACTCTACACACGTGCTGAGCGTGGAGGGCGCCGGCCGGGAGCTCACTGTCAGCGGCACGTACCGCTTCAAGGCCGGCAAGGTGGAGACGGCGGTACGTGCGCCCTCTCCTCTGCTTTCCCCGGGGTAACGCTAGCCCCGTGCCTCTGATTGGCTCGTGCCAGCCGCCAGGCAGCGATGTTTCAACGTTTCCGGGTCTGGCCGGTCGTCTCACATCTGAATGGAGAAACATGAAAACAAGCCGAGTAATCCGTATGATTGTTTATTTTCAGATTGTCAACTTGTTTTCAGCTTTGTCAGTTACGTCGCCCTTGGTCGTTCGATACTTGCCTCTCGGTTTGTCGACTGACAATAGTGTCCGCCGTGCCCCGCAGACGGAGCGGGTCAGTCTGAGCGCCGATCTGGTGGTGACCCGTGTGGAGCCGGCGCGGCCCGTGCCGGCGGTCCCGGCGGCGGCCCGGGCCGCTCCGGCCGCTCCTCTGGCGCCCGGTCTGACCACCTTCAGCCTGCAGCTGTCCGAGACGGAGAAACAGAGCCGCGACCGGCTGGTGCTGCCCTACCTCAGGTGAGCGGGAACGATACTGCCTTACCGAGGACCGGCTGGTCAGCTGCCCTACCTCAGGTGAGAGGGAACGATACTGCCTTACCGAGGACCGGCTGGCCAGCTGCCCTACCTCAGGTGAGCGGGAAGGGGACTGCCTTACCGAGGACCGGCTGGTCAGCTGCCCTACCTCAGGTGAGAGGGAACGATACTGCCTTAGGTACCGAGGACCGGCTGACCAGCTGCCCTACCTCAGGTGAGAGGGAAGGATACTGCCTTACCTAGGACCGGCTGGTCAGCTGCCCTACCTCAGGTGAGAGGGAAGGATACTGCCTTACCGAGGACCGGCTGGTCAGCTGCCCTACCTCAGGTGAGAGGGAAGGATACTGCCTTACCGAGGACCGGCTGGTCAGCTGCCCTACCTCAGGTGAGCGGGAAGGATACTGCCTTACCTAGGACCGGCTGGTGCTGCCTACCTCAGGTGAGAGGGGTGCTGTCCTGCCTCAGGTGAGCGGGAAGGATACTGCCTTACCGAGGACCGGCTGGTCAGCTGCCCTACCTCAGGTGAGAGGGAAGGATACTGCCTTACCGAGGACCGGCTGGTCAGCTGCCCTACCTCAGGTGAGCGGGAAGGATACTGCCTTACCTAGGACCGGCTGGTGCTGCCTACCTCAGGTGAGAGGGGTGCTGCCCTACCTCAGGTGAGCGGGAACGATACTGCCTTACCTAGGACCGGCTGGTGCTGCCCTACCTCAGGTGAGAGGGAAGGATACTGCCTTACCTAGGACCGGCTGGTGCTGCCCTACCTCAGGTGAGAGGGAAGGATACTGCCTTACCTAGGACCGGCTGGTCAGCTGCCCTACCTCAGGTGAGAGGGAACGATACTGCCTTACCGAGGACCGGCTGGTCAGCTGCCCTACCTCAGGTGAGAGGGAACGATACTGCCTTACCGAGGACCGGCTGGTCAGCTGCCCTACCTCAGGTGAGAGGGAAGGATACTGCCTTACCGAGGACCGGCTGGTCAGCTGCCCTACCTCAGGTGAGAGGGAAGGATACTGCCTTACCGAGGACCGGCTGGTCAGCTGCCCTACCTCAGGTGAGAGGGAAGGATACTGCCTTACCGAGGACCGGCTGGTCAGCTGCCCTACCTCAGGTGAGAGGGGTGCTGCCCTACCTCAGGTGAGAGGGGTGATGTCCTGCCTGGGTGAGAGGGGTGCTGTCCTGCCTGGGTGAGGGCAAGGCCTTATATGGAGATGCTGCCCTACCGGAGGGAGGGATACTGCTCTGCCTTAGGTGAGAGAGGTGCAGCTGTCCTAACTGAGTGAGAGTGGCGCTGGTCTATCTGAGGTGAGAAGGGATGCTTGTTTGGATCAGAGAAGATGGGTGCCGATGTATATCACAGGGACGACGGATCTCAGTCATACGACTAGTTCGGGTGGGATAGGTGTATAACAGCTGTATAGCACTGCCCTGCGTCTGCATGTTATGAGACGACACAAATTTGTTTCCCTATCCTGAATGGGAATGAGCTATGGGGTATTGACGCTTGTCAATCTGAAGTTCATTAGGTGTCGTCTTTGCATGGCAACAATCCCGCTAACCGAAATATACTGTGTTGGCGGGTGTCACTTGTGAAGTGGGTTATATAAATGTCAAGTATATGGTCCCCAAGTGATCCTTCATGTTGATACCGTTTTGAGGCTTGAAAATATGAAATATTGACGTCATTGACCCTGAGTGTGAATCAATAACGCACGCTCTGGTATGTAATCCATTCAAGTGTCTGACGCGTTATCTAACTCAAAGATCCGTTGTCTTCAGGCGTCACTGCAGTTCCCTTAATTCCGGTATACGGTATAGACTGCGTTAGCTTATCTGTGCGTCGATCCGTCCTGATACCGATTCGACCTCACCCGACCGCCACCAAGGTCGTGTGGGTGTCTCGCGTCGGCTCATCCATCGGCCGGTCTTTGTCTCAATCGACCGGCTGTTTGTTGTTCGGAAGATCGCTTAATCTCGGCTGTCTGTGCGCGTATCGCTGCCAATACAACCCTTCCTCTCGTCGCTGACACAAGTAATGTCCCTATCTGTCTGTATCTGTCCCGGTTATCTACTGAGTGATCGCGAGCCGCCTGTGCCTTCGTTGTGCCCCCCCCCCCCCCCAGTCGCTCGGCGATGTGTGCTGTCGTAGCCTAGCATTGTCTCCGAGAGATCAGCCCGTGATTGACAGCTGACTTTTCCGTGCCGGGAGGGGGCATTCAGAGACCGCGAAGTCTGTGACTGACCTCGACAAACCAACCCTCATGTATATTACAAACCGTAGTAACGCGGCGGGGAGATTCAGCGACCCGGGAGTCCACGAGTGACCTCGACTGACCGCGGATGACCCCGTCCCGTCTCTTACAGGCCGGAGCAGGGCGGCGGGGACAGCGGGCCGGGCACCGGGCAGATTTTCTACCAGCCCGACGCCGCGGACGACTGGGACGAGGAGGATCCCGACGACGACCTCGACATCTGAGCCCCGGTACCGTCCTACAGGGGGCGGGTGCTGCGTGGGAAACCGGCCTCACTGGGCCAAATGTTATGTGGCCTGATCCGCAATACAATATCGACATTTGTTATAATTGGCTTTATGTGGTCTTTGCTGGTTGCTCTCAGGTAGCTATATTGCCGTCTCTTATAGGCCGGAGCAACAACAGCAACGTCAGCTCGGTAAATATAATTAGTTATCTGGGTCGATGTTATATAACATTCTTACCACGCCTTCCAGGTTATCCAAGGGTTCATGTCGTCCCTCCCCACACCAACGTTTGTCGGCCAGCGATCACGAAACTCGCCCGTCCACCCTCACACGCCAGCACTGCGCGCTCAAATATTGTATTGTTATTAGTATATACATATTGTTACACACATAATTGTCGCTATGATCAACAACGCTGCGCCGGCTGAACACAGGCGCGTCCCTCCAATAAATATATACTAGACTCTGGGCCGCTCGATGGCCCAACAACAGACTCGCTCTGGGAGAACCGCCGGCCGGCCGGCCGGCTGACCCGCGCGCTGCCCGCCTCCGCGCGGCCCCGCCCGTTTGTTCGAGATGCAGCTGAGACCCCCCGAGCCGGCGGCAGCGGCGGCGGCGGCCGGGGTTTTGATTTCTGCGCGGGCGCGCGCCGGAGGCGGCCGGCCAGCGACTAGTCTGCGCGAGCGCGCGCCGGCCAAGGAATGCAGCGCGGCCCCAGCGAGCGGGGCCAACAACACGGCACATGGCTCCGCCACTGGGCAAAATAGTCTCCTGGTATGTACACACGGCGTGGCGGTGGGCGCTGCGGCCGGCCGCGCACATCACTATCACAAACACTGAGGGCGGCGGGCGGGGCGCCGGGCGGCTCACCGCGCCAGCCGCTCCATGGCAGCGCGCAGGCGCGACTCGCCCATACTCGGCACCAGCTTCACCAGCAGCTGCTGCACGAACTGGTCGCTGATGCCTGGCGCGCTGCGCTCGGCCAGCTCGAAGGCGTTGCGCAGCTCGTCGATGGCGTCTGTGCGCTGCGCCAGCGAGGACGGGTCCCGCGACCGGTAGCTGTTCCGGTGTCGCCGCTGCAGCTGCGGGCGGAGAGCGGTAGCAGTCAGACGGGATACTAACACGAACGAAGATACGGGGATCAACGAAAAACGCCAACGTAAAGAAAGCAATAAGACCTGAGAAACGACATGGACACGGACGAGGCTGCAACCCGTTGGAGCGCCGTTGAAGCGGTACTTCCGCGTGGGATGCACTCCCAGCTATGACAAAACGTTCTGGGGCACAACAATTAAATTTTGCTTTCATGACTCACAACTCAAATGAAAGTCACCAGGCATTAGTTCACCTGGAAGTACCGCTTCAATGATATATTTTGCTATTTCATTCACGCCTCCCAGCCCGCAGTAGAGCGCAATCAGTCCCCATCCACCTTTGCCCCCGGCTCTCACCTCTGCCATGAGCGGGTGGATGACTCCGGTGAGCGTGCGGCTGCGGTTCGGCTGCTGCCCCGTCGGGATCACCACCTTGCTGGGGCTGGCAGTGGAGCGCCGCTTGTTGGCCGCCGCCGCCGAGGGGGACGGCTCGGCGGCGGGCTCGGCCGGCGGCGCCGAGCGGCGGTGCTCCGACAGCCGAGAGTCGCCGCTCGACCGGCGCCGCTCGCGGTGCTCCACCAGCGGCTCCGTGCTCGAGCGCCGGTGCTCCACCACCGGCTCGGCGACCGAGCGCCGGTGCTCGGGCGGCGGCGGCGCGGCCGCTGTGGGCCGCGTCTGCCGGAGACAGAAATGGGGCCGCGTGTCACCGACATTTGTTGCAGATAAGGTCAACACGGGCATATTATCCGGACCATTACAGTCACATATAACACACCGAGGTATATTATGGCGCACGACATGGGATTTGTATTCACAGACCAGAGTTCAACGGAGCACGCCTCCCGACAGAAGTCACAAATTTAATCAGCTGACATTTCACAGACACTAGCACTGGAATGCATACACATTCGACCCATGCAACTCAGTTCAAATATAGCCTCACAGAACGGGGCCAGGGGGCGTATTCATATCGGCAATTTGCCAGACGTCAGTAATCAACACATCTGGCACTTCAAAAAACACCAGGCTGACGTCTGCTGCAAACAGCCTTCTACAGAAGTGACACAGCCCGGTACGTGACAGGGGCTTGGTCACCCGGACCGGCCGTGGGCCATCCCAACTCACTGGACTCCGCGGCAGGGGCGCCTCCTTCTCCGGGGAGCGCGGCGCCGGCACCGTCACCGACGACGAGACCGACGACATGGAGGACAGGTCCGGCGCGCTGGAGCCGTTCTGAAGCTGAGGGACGGAGAAGGTGGGTCAGTCAGGCGGCAAAGGGAGGGGCTGACGGCTGACATACGCACACAGGGTGAAGAAATGAGTGGACTCGGAGAACCCGAGGAAGTCGAAAGAGATCGAAACACTATGAGCTCGAGGGGAGCCGAGTGAACCGAAGGACCAGCGCGGAATACAGAGAGCGAGTTTATATACTGAGATTGAAGCGTGCGATTTACTATGCGGATCCAGGAACAAATGTGACTGCTACTGCGTTAAACATGAGTCAGTTGTGATGAGTGATCACATGCTATGTGTCCAAAGGGGCATCAATAACATATTAGCGATAAATAAGTGAAGAACGGCTAACAGCATAAAACGGGCACCCCATAGCATACTCCCGTCATCGCTGCCTGCTAATTTTACTTCCCCACTACTCATGCTCGACGATATCACGTTTTTTTCTCCTAGTCATTCACACCCGATGCATAAGTGATTCGTTCGTCCCACCAGCCGCATACGTGTCTCGGGTCGAAAGATCACTACGATAGCCCCCTCGGCCCCTCTCTCCCCCTCCCTCCATCGTCCCATATCGTCACTATCTACCGGCCTAAATCGGGGCAATTAAAGCTCCTCCACAGCCGCGCGATCCCCGCTCGGTGTGTGTGGGCGGAGCTGACGGCAGTGGGGGCGTTCAAACACCAACTGTGCGAGTCACCGCGCGCAGATAGCACTTCTCTGGGCGGTGCGCGTGGAGCCACATTCCGACAGCGGTGATCAGGGTCGAGCCCCGCGGAAACATACAAGGAGACAGGTAACACGTGCGCACGCGTGCGTAAGACGTCGGCAGAGAGGAGGGGAGGGGGATACTGACACCCCCGCAGCGGAGGGAACTGACAGTCATGCCAGAGAGAGTGATTGACGCGGCCACCTGCTATCGAACAAGTGCAGAGCCAAGTGCGCATGAAAAATGGAGAGTAATGCCAGGGAGGAATAAAAACAAGGCTGTGCACACAATTCATCCCTTTTCATCCTGCAACGGTCACTTTTGTAACATTGGAATACTTTTACATGACATTGTTCCGTCCAGTAATTTTTACTGGGATGACCGATGATCTCCGGTCAGCAGTCTGTAGCTCAGTACCTATGTGATCCATCTCTCTCTCCCTGGGCGGTGCTCCTGTCAGTGACCCCTCTCCCCCGCTCTCCGCTGACCTCAGTGATGAACTGGGACGGAACCCTGCCAGTGACCCCTCCCCACTGACCTGTGTGATGACCTGGGACGGTATTCGGTTGTTGTGGTTCATGCTGTCGACGTCCTGGTCGTCGCCGCCGCTGTTGTCCAGGCCGCCTGAGTCGGGCTCGGCGGCGCGCCGGCCCGAGGACGGCCCCCGGATGGTGGGCACCCACGGCTCGTCTAGGTCCGAGTCGTTCCGCGAGCCCTCCCTGCCGGTCGGACAGCGGTCAGACGTCAGAGGACGGGTCAGAGAACGAGGTCACAGGTCAGACAGCGCGACTCCCAGGTTTCATGCTACGGTTTGGAGATGGGGCGATACGCTGGTGAAGGATCAGAGATCATGACAAGGTGCGACCACCGAGTGAAAGACTGTAGTAAAAGGAGTCATACTTCAGCATAGATTCCGACAGAAAACGACAAAACGGTCCGGTCCATCACCATCATTGATCACAAAGAAACTGAGCCCGATTAGGTCCACATCAAGTGGTGCCTCTATCCATTGTGGCACGCACTTCACAGGTGGTTTATTGTTATGACGTCGGGCCGCATCGCTTTCTCTCGCACAAACTATCTCAGCGGCGAGGGAGGTATCGGTAAATAAACCAACAGTCACGAGCGGCAGCTGCAGCGCTGACGAGCAGTAAGAACCCTTAAGGAGGCGACGAATTAAACAGCCAGAATCAGGAGGCTTGTCAGGAAATATGTGCGGTATTGCTATTGTATCTCTCGCTCGCTTCTCATCCCTAGCCTTCATTTAGACGTGTATAACAATAGGTCCACTGTCATCTATGATTAAAGCTGAACATAAGACGCAGACCACTGAGTCCAGGACTGCAGCGGTAACCTGTCACATTACAGGGGCGTGGTCCGGTGGAGACGACCCAGACCCCGGGGAGAGGAGGAGTGACCGCCAGGGCCCCGGCGATTCAGTCAAGGTCACGGCATCGACCAAACAGCCTGACCGAAAACAGCACACGGTCGGACGCTGACCCGCCGCCGACTGAAATAGCAAATGCCCAGTGAGACGAGAGCTGCTGGTGGGGTTTCGGTCTGGTCGTGGTGTTGTCGATTTAGACTAGTGGCCTGTCAAACGCAGGGCGATGTCGACACAAAGTAACCGGCTCATGTCTCACCCAAACGGCTCAGTAAACTGCGCTCAGCGCCGCACCATCAGTGTTTTTGTCCGCCCATTTCATTAAGCCTGTCGCCGACCGAGCGCCATAACATTATTCTCCGCCACGAGTACATCGATTTATGCAAACAAGCGCGGCTATCACACCGATCGGAGACCGGGGCGGCTTCAATAGACGTTTCATTTCCCCACAACACTGTTCATCAGGGCGGTGGTGGGTATTCTCCGATATCGGCGATAGATCGGCCGCCCGCCCGGCCGGTCTCCGGCGACAAACATCCTGTAATGTTGAACCAGGCAGCGCAGCCTATACTATACACTATTCCGCACTCAACGACAAACATCCAAGTATGTAAGGCTAGTCGCGGCCTCCCGGTACCAACCACACCAGTAGCGGCAAATAGCGATAGCAGGTATCGGCCTGCGCCGTAACGATACATGTCCACGCTTTCAATGTGTGTAAGAACGAGATGTAAGGATGTAATCGATGGATGTAATGAATGGATGATGCTATGAGAGAAGCTGCGCGGCCTGGCAGAGCCCCGGAGGAAGGGAAGGGCACTACTCACGAGTCGGTCTCCTCACTGCTGTCCGAGTCATCCTGTTTGGTCATCTTGAACTTCTTGTGGCGGTCAATGAGGTCGATCAGGTACGAGGTCTTCTTGGCCTTTCGGATGAAGGGCAGTCGGAGCAGCTCCTTGGCCGTTGGCCTCTGTAATCGGACACAGGGCGGGTGAGTGCCGCGGAAAGACTTACATAATACAGCGGCGGAGCAGGTCGTCTGAGAGTATGCAGGGTAAGCACCGACACAGCGCTGCCGTCGCACTCGACCAGCCGACGTTAGCTCGATTGGATGTGACTTCTCGGAGAAAGGGCCTTACAGGCGGCACATACACTACAGACGACCCACTTTACACAGAACACTTGGTTAATTGTGGGGCAGACTGACTCGCTAAAATCCAAATGCCCGGGTTCATTGTATAATTATGCAGGCCAGGCCCGGTAGAGATGGCCGCACACTTGGTGCTTTATTGCAGTTTTGGCTCACAGGAAAATTAAAACCATAAATTAGCTGTGAAAATGGGACGTCACACCACTAACAAAATTCATTTGTCTCGGGTTCCGTCCACGGGGACATGTTTGTGCTGTGGTCCGCCCGTCACCACGCCCCAGTCCCATTCCCAGCCGGGTGACTAAGGGCCCCACCTTCCCCATCCACTATCCCGGCTCCGGGCTCTGAGCCGCCGGATCCTCAGCGGCCACCTGCAGGATATATGGGGCGGCCGCCAGGAGGCCAGACGGCCAGCTCCAGCCCCGGTCTCAGCTACAGCTACCAGTCAGGATAATACCGTACTGACGCACACCACAACAGGACTCTCCGACGGTACCGGGTAAACAGCACGCTCTCGGCAGCCGGAGAGCTCCACTTTAATCTCTCGTCCTGCCACAGCCCCGCACAGCTGGCCTGTGCACGCCGCAACACAGCAATTTCCAACTGCTCACAGCAAGCTGCGTCTTCACCCGAACAGAATCAAAGGAACACAGTCCTGCGACTACGTACGGTGCGGTGGCCGGGCCATAGCCTGGAGTGGCGGCAGCATCTATTGTAGGGATGGGTAGATGAAGGAGTCTCCAAAGGGCTGCCAACGTCCCAAGGTCCTCCCCCGTCCCATCAGCCCACCGGCCGCCCCACCGATCCACCCACCATCCCACCGACCCAACCATTGCTCCATCAGCCCGTTCAACGGGACCAAGTCAGTCGTGTGTAGCGTCCCGTGCCCTCGTTGTCAGAGGACGGCGCCACTCGACAACCCCCATGGCCAGCCGAGTTTTCAGAAGCTGGCTCACTATTGACCAGCTGTCAATCATGGTCGGAGCCGCATCATTTGCAGCGTCTGAGCTGCAGGATAAGCCGCAGCGCGGAGCGGCCCGCCTGGTGCTGAGGGGATTGACGAGCTGTACTGAAAACAAGGTACTGACGGGAACTGTAGACTATTGGTACACTTGTCAGAATTACAACGGGAAAAAACTACTGTGACGAGAAGCCCGATAAGATATCTCAGCGATAAATGATACAGACGGACAAAAACCTATGGCAATGTGTGACTCAGACAGGAGAAAAAGGGGATATATGGCCATTGATTGCGGACAGCGCCTATCAATGCGACATGATTTAACTATGATATTCCACGTAATACAGTGGAATGCGTCCGTCAATGCCGTGCTAGGATTCATCAACTTGCCTGATTGCCCCCTTGTAATTACTAATTCCTATCGTACATTGGTATACGAAGGTAGCGTTTGTAAAACAGCTCAACGTTCGCACATGTTCACAGACGAGCTCCTATCCGCGGTCTCCAGCTAAGTCCTCCGTGCGGCCTGGACAGTGGAAACAGAGCGTCCTACAGACCCCCCCCCCTGCCGGCGACGCACCCCCCCCCCCCGCGGGAGACCGGTGAAGTCGGACAACGGGCGGCAGCACCGGAGGCCCTACAAAGCCATCCTCCCCAGGAAGACAGTGGGGTGACGCTTGGTGACAGACCGCAGACAGACACTGTGCTGTCGGCACTAGCGGACGCGGTGAGGACAGGTTATAAGACAGGCCAGACCCGTCGCTTGTCGCCAGCCTGAGGCAAGAGAGAAGCTATCAATTGGGTTGTATTTAGTGAGATTCGCGATAAGTTTCAGAGTTTTGGCCTGTGAACGTGGCAGCGACGGCCGTGGCCGTGTGAGGACGCCGGGCTGGGATTTATCGCCCGGGATTACGACTGCCAACAGTTATATGTCAGGTCAGTAAGGTTAAACGGCGACGGCCGCCGCCACAGTCGCGAAATACGGTCAAAGTTGCGGCCAAATTCTGAACCGGTGGACATTCAGCCGATTATGAATCCCCGCCAGCGCTGACGCAGCAACAATATTTCTGAACACAGAGACCCGAGTTTTTATGAGTAGTCTCCTGAGCTCCATCTCTGGGAGTTACACACAGCAACAATCGCTGAATGCTAATCCACGGGTGTCGCCATCCCTATTCCTTTTTGTTGCCTATCTGTGCCGTCCTTGTGCTGTCAGTACCAAATCCCTGCGCGTACGCCATCGCGCATACCAATAGCCCATTTCACTGTCAGCAGAGCTGCATTCCACCGACTGGATAACTCAGCACCTCACCAGACTCAGCCAGCACGGTCGGCATACTCACGTTCTCAGGGTCCTTGTTGAGACAGGCCTCGACAAACTCCTTGAACTGGCGTGTGAACGATCCCTGCAGCTGCGGCGGGCTGTTCTTGGGGATCAGGAAGAGCACGCGCATCGGGTGCAGGTCAGAGTTGGGCGGCTCGCCCTTGGCCAGCTCGATGGCAGTGATTCCCAGTGACCAGATGTCCGCCTGTGGGGACGCAGATGGAGGTTAATACAGATCAGAATGGCCACGTCAGCGGAGGCGGGAGGGAACGAGTTGAAGCTACGCTTCACGGGGACGTGCGTTCGTGAGTGGGGTCAAGGGGGGGGGGGGTTTACCCTCAACTCGGGACGGTGATAAAACAGGTGGAGACAATGATAAAACAGTGCTAATTAATTGTACGCACACGACTCAGGGCAAGACAATATATTCCTGCCCGGGGCCGGGATGATTCAATAAATGTCACCGAGGTTTTTTAGCAAAAACTCCGAGGGCCGTTAGGCCCGAGGTGCTTTTCGCTAAAAAAGCGAGGTGACATTTATTGAATTCTCGGCCTTAGGGCTGGAAGGTGTTTCCCATACCTGCCAAAAAGCTCACAACTATAATTGATAGTGACGTCAGCAGCCGTGTGGTTCAACGCGTTTAACCACACCCCTTGAACCACACGGCTGGCAATATTAAAGCACTGCATTAAACTTTGAAAAGTGTGGTACAGTGCACGTGCCATTAAAATGCCTGGATGTCTCGATTTAATCATGCAATGTAGCAGGTATGGGAAATATAAATCCTACACAATTTTTTCTACATACTACATTCTCTGCATTGTCATCACAATTAGCACAAACAAAATGTTACAACATTCCTCACAATCAGTCAACCATTGCTCTGTGCTTTATTCGACCGGCGCACAACCTCCAAACCCCACACACAACACGACACCCTTCACAGCCCGGGTTATGGTGTACAAACAACTCCTCCTCCCCGGTCCCTCCACTCCCGTAATGATGCGGCCGCCGGCCCATTTCTGGCACCCGACGCCTCTGCCATATACTGCCGGGAGAGCTGGCAGATCCACAGAGCCGCGGCAATCCGGACTGAGCCAGTTAAATCCGGACACGTCCGGACACAGCTCCAATAGGACCAACTCGTCAGGGCTCGGTCAGTGCCGACAGTGCCGGCTTGGATTCATTACCATGTGGACCGACGATACACCGAAATTAAATCACTATCGGGAACCCAGCGGTCGAAAGGCTGCCACAAATAGCATGCCTAGAACCAACCAGAATCTGACAGCGCCTCGCTGAGGACTTGTCAGGAATTCAGACAATGCCAACAGTTCGTCACACAAAATCCCCACAAACATGTCATGATTCACCGCAATAACTCATTACATAACTACACATACCCTAACGACGGCAAACAAAACAATTGAAAGGATGCCCACGCTACCTCAACCAATGACTAGCCTCGTGCACCACGCCAGCCCCACAGCGTCCCGAACTGACCTTGGAGTCATACGCCGACTGTTTGATGACCTCTGGCGCCATCCAGAAGGGCGTGCCGACAAACGTCTGTCGCTTGCTGGTCGTGTTGGTGAGCTGTCCGGCCACGCCGAAATCGGCCAGCTTGACGTCGCCCATCTCGGAGAGCAGGACGTTCGCCGCTGAGGGAAGAGAGGGCAGGTGGTGAGAAGGGAAGAGGGCGTCAGCCGGCGGTAGACAGCAATATGTGTGTGCGTGGGGGGGGGGGGTGGAGGGTGAGCGTCAGAAGGTGGGGGTGGGGAGGGCAGTCAGCCGGACGTGGCGGAGATCGATAAATCAGCGACACCCCCGCGATCGTATGGGAAGCACCCGTAGACCGGCATGGCTTCATAGAGGTCGCAGAAGCAAGGAGGAAAAGGATGGGCGCTCTGTTTCCGCCGCGAGTACTGGAAAAGGTGAGGCTGCAGGTATGGTCTATGGGGACAGTGATGGGCGATGAGTTGTTACTATAACACTAGTCTCAGACAGGTGAATGGCTCACATGACACCCATTTATTAAACAAAGTTGTAAACTCGTCACTAACGCCACATACTAGCTCCAAATGAAGACGTGAGGAAAACTGTGAGAACGTCGGCAATAAATATGAATTCAAACGAAATGAGTGATCCCGATCAGATGGCACGTTTCCCAAAACAGTCACAACCGGAAATACAGCTGTGTGTTTTACACGGATAATGCCATCCACTCAGCCGGTAACTGCCAATGAGCGCTCCTTTCCGCGGCGGAGGGGGCGGGGCTACCTTTGATGTCCCTGTGCAGTTTGCGCTCAGAGTGGAGGTAGTCGAGGCCCTTGATGACCTCCCGGAGGATGATGGAGATGTGGATCTCCTCGAAGCTGCCCGCCTTCATCAGGTCCAGGGCAGAGCCGCCGCCCAGGTACTCCATGATGATCCACAGCTTGGTGCCCTGAGGAAGAGGGAGAGGGGGGCGGGGCGGATCAGAGCAGTGTCGGGAGAGACACGGGTGGTGTTTGGGTGGTGTGTGCGTGGGGGGGGGGGGGGCAATCCACTTCCGATTCGGTAAAAAGGGAAGCCGGTGGGCTAAAACCGGACGACTCTATTAGCTCATGAAAGTATGGTCGGAGTGTTTAATTTATGTCGAATCGGCACTGGACAACATGTCGAGATGGAATCAAATGCCACGGAGGGTTTACCCAGGTCATGTCAAACCAGTCCAGCAGGTTAGTAAACGCCGCAGACTAGGCACCATCAGTGGAAACACTACACTACAACCCACGCTGGTCACACATCTTGGTCACACATAACCAGCTAACAAAAACCCGTCCACGGAAGGTCGATCAATGCAGCAGATAGATCAGATGGCGGAACGGGCGCCGGTGACACGGGTCACATATCGGGCGGCGGGTCACACTGAGCGGGTCCGTCAGAGACACTGATGGATTAACCCGACCCGTGGGACAGAGGTGACACTCTTGGCGGGATAGTATGGAATGGTATGGTCGACAAAACGTGGGGCTTGAGTGTTCAGTGCACTGTCTAATGGCGCAATGTTACAATGCATGGAAATGAAGTTTAGCTGAAACATGGTCCCTGCTTGCAATCAGTCTAATTTGTAAGGCTTCCTCAGAAAGAAAGCCGAGTAACCACCCTGCGGTGCCCCTGAAAGTCACTTACTCGTTTTACTTGAATAAGTTGTTCAAGGCGAAATGAGGCTTAACGTTCAGCCATTTTACAGAATTCCGTAAGTGCCTTTCTCAGTAGTAATCTAGCAGCCGCTTTAACGGACACCACTAAAACCCAAACAGGACCTTGCGACCTAAAACCACCACCCAATAAAGGCACGTAGTCTTGTTTTCAGCGCCAGACAGGGAAAGCCTCTCAGCGGGGGCACCATTTCCGTGAAGAGGTCATTGAGTTCCGTCACACCGGGTGCCGACAAAACCAGCGGCCGGCGCTGGTCCTCTGCCGTCCTGGACAGTCGTCCCCGCCACTGCCACCGTTCGGCCGCCGCTGACCAGGTCAGACCGTCTCCGCCGGCCCGAAGAGGGCCCATTCATCGCCGCTCAATATCGGGTCTGAGCCGGACCGGGGGTGAGGAGCGGGGACTGGGCAGCGGGGGCGACTCTGAATAGAGCCGGCACGTCAGCTGATCACCACACCGTCAGCCCACGTCAGCTGATGGCGGCTGACGTCAGCCGCACGGCACTCATTACTGGCCATCGGTCAGCGGGTCTGCAGAGGGCGCGGCGCGCCGACCTGCAATCAGCGCAGAGTCGCCCCGGTCCCGGACCCCCGGGCCGCTCCGGGCTCCTTTTACAGCGCCCGCAGTGGGCGGGCCCGGCGCCCATGCCGATCAACGTGAGCGCTATGAGATCGAGCTGCGATAGACGCGTGACGGGTGAGTGGCGGTTATATTGAGCTGCTTCGATATGAGACAGAGAAAATCAGCCCTACTGAAACGGCCACCTTCGTCGCCAGCTGCAAGTCTATAAATAAACCCTCACACTATAGCAGACCCTACTCGTCCAGGCAAACTCTCTGGTAAGCACAACCGTGCCACGCAGCGGCACTACTGCTCCATAACCACCACCCAGAACCACAGACAGCAGAACCGACGGCCGACCCCGGGTGTGGCGCAGTTGAGCGGCTCGGCCGTCCACGCCATGTGCACCGCCTCCGTCCCTCCGCCCGTCCGACCCAGCTGGAGCGGACTCTGTTTACAGTGGCAGTGGCAGCGGCCGTGGCCGCGTCCCGGCCCTCTCAGGGTCACGGCGACTGGCGGCAGACACACTGCAGCCAGGGCGGAGGGGCCGACGGCGGCACGGAACACATGGGGAGAAGAATACAGGGTACTCGACCACGGAGAGAGAGAGAGAGAGAGAGGACATGGCTGAACAGAGCCGGTGAGAACCAATGAAGCGGTGGAGACATCACCCCGTACTTTACCTGTCTCAGATAAAACTACGAGCTGAGAACGAGATAAAACTACAAAGACTTTTACGCCTATCTACAACATTCTGGACCGCAGCTGCCGTTTTTTTACACTGGTCAGCCCGGGACAGTCAACTACGCCGCGCTCGCCGCGCCGTCTCGCGGCCGGACCCCGAACTAGTTTGGAGCGGAGCTGGTTGGCGCAGTGTGGGGTGACGAATTTGGCAGCGCGCGCCGGAAGCCGCAGGCGGGGGCGGCGCGGCGGGGGCCAGCAGAGACCGACACTGGCCTGCGCCGCGCGCTCCGGGGGTCGACGGGCACCTACGGTGGGCGGGGAGGCTCCGTGACCGGGATCGGTTCTCGCCGTAAACCGGAACGGACCCGCCCTCACTTTACTCCATTCCCTCACCAATACCGACCGGACGGAGCCCTTTCAGTCACCGGACACGGCACGCAGCCCCCCCCCCCCTTCCCCTCCGGTGCACAAACACCTCTGCCATTCACACCTCTCGGCACGCTCATCTGTGCGCAGTTAGCGCAGGGCGGCGGCCGGCGCCGCGCTGTGCCGCGCTGTGCTGGCTGCACGCGCGCTGCGTGTTACGTGCTGGCGGAGGGACTGGTGAGTCACACCGCCTGTACCGCCGCCGCCCCCGCCCTGACTGGACGCCGCGCCAGCAGCCAGCCGACGCCAACACTCCAACAGTCTCCAGACGGCCGTGTTGTGACGGCCGACCGGAAGGCGTCGGACAGACGCAGCTACACGTCCGCCCTGAGAGCCGGTCTGTCCACCATAGAGTTACTCTCGGGGGAGCGGGTACAGGCCGCGCCGTCAAAACGACCACCGGGCCGGCCCGTCCGGCATAAAGCCACCCAGAGCGAACGGCACACGCGTTAGGTCTGGAACTGTGAGTCAGGGCGGCGATAGGTGAGCCCCTAGCGGCAGCTTTGTTCTGTGTTTACCGGGGAGTGCTACAAGGACCCTTTTACAAAAGGAGCACACACTTCGTTTTGCGCCCCACCCCATTAACTAGTCCTGCTCCGTTGAGCATATCGATTCCTTGCCAAATACAGAATATGACAATAAGCCATCAACGCAAAGGCCGCCCCTTCTAAACCATGTTAAACCATGTCCGAGCCATCACTGACATCCGTCCGAGCCGTCAGTGATGTAAAACCCTGTCAGCCACCAGCTGCACAGCTCTGTCTCGGCTGTCAGAAAACCCATCGGCACCGCCAAAACGTCCAGCCAGTCAGTCTTATCGAGCAGGAAATCACCACGGAAAACTGACCTGGCGGCTCAGCATTAATTAGCATCAATGCAGAGCCATAAAGGCAGTCGAACATGGACCATTCCGCCTCCGCGGGTCCCGGTACTGATAAATCAACCAGACGGGGTAATTTGTGGGTGACGCCAGGGATATGAAACTTATTCAGAACGCTCGCATGCGTGATACGTGCAGCGATGCGTTGCACCGGTGAGCGTTTGTTCTATAACTTCATTATGCACTGGGAATTTCATAGTTATAGGCAAATCCAGTATCCATCAACCATGCCCTATGGACAGAGTCGTGAGCTGCGCCAGTTTACAGAAGCCACGTCTCTTGCATGTCAGAATGACGGCATGTCGCATGACGGTTAGTCTCACCTCCTAGCACAGTAAGTCGCGTACCGAGACGGCAGACCAGAGCCTCATCATCCCCGGACACCGACCAGCCTCTGAGGAGACCGGCCCGGTCAGGCGGTACGAACGCCGCACTTCCCCGCCGTCGTGGTGCGGTTCCACGGTGGACGCTCACACCACCCCACACTGCCGGCCGGTGGGCGGAGTCCTCACCGGGAACGGGCGAGTCGTCTTCTCATCGTAATTCACCGCGCCAGTGTGGGGCATCGCTGGTGAGTTTCGGTGGTTCCCAGTGGCGCCACACACTGCTCCCCTGAGCAGTGAACTGGGAATGGCGCTCCGCCTGTACCCTGTGTCCCTACTCTGAGTTAGACTCTGGCGGCAGTGTTACCCACTGACTTACACCTCTCTGCGGGTTACAGCCTCAGGTAACGCGGGGACAACTGCCCGTCTGGGGCCGGCGGACCGGCTGACCCGCCCGGCCGGGCGGTGCCGGGGACCGACCGCCGCAGCTCCTATGAGGACGTCTCCGTGCAGTCACCACTCCGCCAGATACAGCGACGCCGTGAGTCGTCAGTGGTTCGTTCTGACTAACCACGACATGCCCACGGGGAAAACGAGTCGCCGAGAGCGGTCAGGTCATCACGGAGATTCCCATGGATCGGACAGAGCCATTCGGCACACTCTTGAACACGTCTGGATAAAAATAGTAGACAGCGCAGTGATGAATCACTATTCATGAGGCAGTAGGACGGCTGACGACGGAATTTCGTAGCCGCGAATACAACCTAACCGTGATCGAGTGGAGCAAGATGCTAGTTGACGACCTAGCAGGGACAGCGTTGTTACGAAAAAAGAATGCTCGACGCAGCGTGATAACTGAAAAAGGTCACTTAACACTGATTGCCTGCCTGACCAGGCAAGCAGGCATGTATCTCCAGGTTAAACCCAGGGGAAGCCCGGACATTTACCTACAATGCATCACTAAACACTCCCGTGATAGAGCAATCATCTGGATTCTGCAAACGATCAGAAGCCCACGCGGGAGCATGTTACATAACGACATCATAAACAGAATCAACTCATCGCTCCTAGGGCGCCCAATGCCATTTGCGGCTGATGAGCTAGTGGGAGTTATCCGGGGCTGTTTGAGTTTGAAGCTGATCAGCTCTGTCCGCCACTGGTGCTGATTTACCCGGAGTAATCCCGGGTCTGTCACTGGCCCCAGTCGCCACAGAGGCGTCCCCGGCGCCACACACGGCCAGACAATCAAACCAGACGAGCTCGGGGACCGACTGACGTGATTACCGCCGGATTACCAGAGCACAGCGGCCGCAGACCACAACGCGCTGATTGCGTTTCATCAACAACGACTGATCTTATACGGCGGCCGTGACCTGGCCAATGTCCAATGGAGGCGGCTTCGAGAGAATCTTATCAAAGATGAATGCTCTGATCATTGAGCTGCATCTGAATTCGGGGTAATCGAACAGACCCATATCCCATGATAATAAAAGTTTCAGAGGAAAGAGTCAGTGAGCATAAAATCAAATCAAATCTGTCAGAGTTATAAGGAACTTTGACAAAGATATCCGGCTCAACTTTAGCGAGGTCCACTCGGAACGGAAAATAATTAACCAATCACACCCAGCGTCTTCAATAGCCCTTCACCTTTCCCTGATGCTGACCGAGTCCGGCAGTAGTTAGGTACTGACCTTGAGGAAGGAGCCGTAGTACTTGGTGACGTACGGCGAGTCACACTGTGACAACACCATGATCTCCTGCTGGATGTCCTCAATCTCATCCTCGGCCTCCTCCAGATCAATTATCTTGATGGCTACAACCTGTAAACAAAACAGAGTTCGTGAGATACTCTGCCAAAGGAGAGCGGTAAGTACAAATCCTACCACTTGTCTCAAACCAGACAGAATAGACAATATGACATTCACGATTCACTATGTACAGATCGCCTGAAATGACCAACAGAAAAAGACGGCACTGTCAGTGTAATGTGAAACTGACGAGCTGTAAGTGGCCGTTAGCCGCGTCCACTGGTCGCCATTCTCGGGCCATTGGGCGCTGAATGCGGGTCAGCAGTGCGGCTAACCGAGCAGCTCAGCGTGCCCCTGGACCGTTCGCGCTTCACCGGTCCCTCAAATCGCCACCATAACTCGGCTTTCATCGCCAGCGACGCCTAAACATCGGGCCACGACGACGCTAAATGCCCTGTTCTAAATCAAACAGCATTCACGTGGAGTTCGCCCGAGCGCGACCAATTGGCCGTTCAATCTTCGATCGTCGAGAAACAAAAACGCTCATATTGAGATCCAGCCGGCAAAATTGTGCAGCCATGCGACTACGGCCGGACTGACCATTTCTCATTCCATCTGCCGGCTCGGCAGACATATTCCCAGACGGGTCTCGACGGCTCCCTCCCGTTGACCCAGAGAGTCGTATCCAAGCCACCAGACAGCACTCAGACAGGCCAGACAGTCGCCACCAGACAGCAGACAGCCCGTTCAGACAGATTGGCCGTGGTCTAACGACGTCGTGCCGCCGCCGACCGAACGGCGCCCATCCACAGCGCCGCAGCTGCGACTGACATCGACCCAGAGCTTTTCAGACTTGTCTCATCGTCCTGTCCCTTAGGACTGCTCGTCCCTCGGCGCCGAACAGTCGTCCCCGGTGCAACAAACCCGTGTCCTCAGCCTGTCGAACTCACATCCCTAGCCCGCCTAACGCTCGTCCCATCTCACCTAACGCCCAGCCCAGCCCGCCGAGCTATCTCGCAGCAGTAGAGACGCGCTCAGACGACCCCCAGCCAATCGTGTCAGAGATATGGTCCCGATCCATCACCGAATGAATGACCTTGCCGATGGTCACCGCGATAGCGACACGGACTACCTTTCAGTGTCACCCGGCGCGGTCCTATCGCCTTTCCGGGCCACAGCTGCTGACTTTTCGCCGGGTCACGTGATCCCATTCTCATCCTGATTACAACCTACATGTCGCCGACCCTGACGAGCCTCTGATGGGGGCCGGGACATTTATTGTAGCGGAGGAAAAACTTCGATGAATTTTGAAGAATGTATTGAAGAAATCCGGACGATAGATGATGACGAACGGTAGATGAGGGTGAATTGAAGAACGCAGAGTAGACAGGTAGACCAGAGAAAACACAGGCACTGCCGATGGTCACTGTTGTCCGCCGAGGCGGACACACCGGCGCCGCCGCGGACGGGGGCGCCGTCGGATTCACTCGCAAACGCCGGCGCACGTCGGGGCGCCGGCGAATTCGCGCACTGCCACTGAGCTGGGCTCAGTGGCGTTCACTGGGCACACGAACGGGGTGCCGTCGGAATCGTGCTCGGTGGCACGATTCCGTCACTGTTCACAGCACCGGCGCACTTCGGGGCGCCGGCGGAATCGCGCACCGCCGCCGAGAACTGCACTCGGTGGCGTTCAAAACACGACTGCCCGCAACGACTCGAGAAGCCGCCGCGGACAAAGAGAACAGTCAGGTCGTACATCTAAAAGCACTCAGAAAGCGAAACTAGAAACCGGTGAGAAAAGTCAGAAAAAGGCTTACACAGCACGTTCGGTAAAAGGATACGGTGCGCGGCGAGCACGCCCAGCCGTCAAGTGAAGCGATAGCGCGAGTGACAAATTGTAGGCAATTAAAACATGAGACGAGAAATAACACAAGAGGTGGTCCAGACTCACTGGGAACGACCAACCCAGCGATAGGTCACGCGTTGCTGTCAAGTGTAAAGCGATACCGCGAGTGAAACATGGTGAGAACGGACAAAGGGCAAAGTGAGGGAGAGAGAACACAAACTGGCTTTCCATTTCGTCGGTGACACACTCCTCCCCTGTGATCGACTAGACAGGAGATTACATTATCATCGAACACCGACGGAATACTCTGTACAGTGTACATTCAATTCACGTGTTCACTGGAAGATTTTCGCGAGTTCTTTCTAAAACTACACAAGTATATACAGATTCACGTTGCACTCAATCACAAAGTCATGACGAAGACAATCACTTTCGGCATTTTCGACGATAGTTCAGTGTGTTAGCTAGACGTTGACCTGGTCAGCTACACATCAGTCCACTGACCGCGTCACTGTCATCACTCTTTAGGTCAGTGTCCGGCGCCCAGTGTACAGCTACACTAGAAACGCAAATGTTCGCACGGCTGTTGTCGGTTTCCGTTGTCATCTACCAGAACAGCTGATGTGTTGTCCTTCCAGCAGTCAGCTGATCGGTCGCCGTTCGCAGTAGGTCAGCAGGGTCCCTCGCCGTCTCAGTTTCCCCTCGGTAGTCAAGGTCAGTGTCACCGGCGTCGCGGGGTGGCACGCGCCAGACAGCTGAGCTCCCCCGCTCCCAGATGTCACGCGTGCCTGATGGCCGGCTGCGCGGACAGGGGAGGGGAAGGCGGTCCATGTGGCGAGCCGGACTGGAGGGGGACACGGGAAAAGACATAAATCTCGGCGAGTTTGGGGTCTGCTCCACGGGACGGAGGGTGGAATAAAGTTACAGAAATGGTCTAAAACCAGGTTCAGTGAGTCAGTAGGAGCACGGTCGAAAGGACAGCTGACAGGATGTGGGAACACTGTGGCGGCGAGCCCGTTGACTAATGCTGAACGGCTTCTTCTAGGACGGCGACCTTGGTGACCGGCCGTGTGTAGGTCGCTCCATTCGTTGTGACGATTCGCACAGCGCGCACTCGTCCGTCCGGTCCTGGCAGGAGCTCTGTTACCCGAGCGAGGGGCCAGAGTCCTCTCGGTGTGCCAGGCTCGTTCATGACGACCACGTCGTCGACTTGTAGGTTTCTGGCCTCCTTCTGCCATTTTCTTCTTTGTATGAGTGTTTGCAGATACTCTTTCTTCCATCGGCTCCAGACGTGCTCGGCGATTGCTTGGGTTCGTCGCCATCTCTTTCTGGAACACGTGTCATTTTTGAAGTCTCCTGGGGATGCGGCCGAGTTGACCCTCCCCAAAAGGAAGTGGTTGGGCGTGAGGGCTGTCAGGTCACGCACGTCGTCTGCGACATGAGTGATTGGCCGGCTGTTCACCATGTTTTCTACTTCACAGAAGACAGTAGCGAGAATCTCGTCGGTCGTCACTTGGTTGTGCAGCACGACTGAAAGCGCTCGTTTCACTGATCCTACCAGCCTTTCCCACACACCGCCGAAGTGTGGGGCGGCCGGCGGGTTCCAGCGCCAGATGATGTGACGCTGGGTCAGTTCGTCAGATATCTTCCGCTGATCGAGCCTGCTCAGCGCTTCCCTCAGTTCTCGTTCGCCGCCCTTCAGATTGGTTCCGTTGTCAGAACAGATTTTCATCGGGCGTCCGCGTCTTGCGATGAATCGTCGCAGTCCCATCACAAAGCTGTCCGTGTCCATTGAGCACGTCACTTCCAAGTGAATGGCTCTTGTGGCCAGGCAGGTGAACAGTAGCCCGAACCTTTTTTCTGTCCGTCGGAATTTCTTGACCAGCAGTGGGCCGAAAAAATCCAGCCCCACGGTGCTGAATGCATGCGAGGCATCAAAGCGCTCGACTGGCAGGTCAGCCATTCGGGGTTGGCTTGGACGGGCACTTCTGTTGCGACAAAAGGCACAGTTGTGTAGCACCTTTTTTACCTGGGCCCGACCTCTTGGGATCCAGAAGCGCTGCCGAACTTCATTCAGAGTATGCTCGACTCCTGAGTGTAGTGAATGACGGTGCTCCTCCTCGATGATGAGTCTCGTCACCTCGGTGTCAGGGGGCAGCAGCACTGGGTGCCGAGCATCTTCCAGCAGTGGCGAGTTGCTCAATCTTCCGCCGACTCTCAGCATTCCTCTGTCGTCTAGAAATGGTGAGAGGTCTGCGATGCTGCTGGCCTTTTTTCCACCTTGTATCTGTCGTCCCTTTTTCAGCGCCATGCGCTCATCGCCGTAGCTTTCGTCCTGGATAGCGCACAGGATGACGTCTTCTGCCTTTTGAAGCTCCTCAGCCTGGAGCGGACCAGTCTGCTGCACTTCAGATGTGTCTGCCTTTGATTTGCAGTTCCTGACAAATCGCAGCATCCATGCTGTGGTCCTCTTGTACTTTGTCCATGACGAGTACTTTGACGGGTCCGGGAGCCAGCTTCTTCTCTTGGACACAGCTGACATGTAGATGTCTGCGTCTGTTTTCACTTCCGGGTCTGAAGATGACAGATCACTGACTTCTGGTTGAGCCGGCCACGCCTCTTCACCGGCTGTCAGGAACGCAGGGCCAGTCAGCCAGACGGTGTCATCTTTCAAGGCGGACGCTGTCGTGCCTCTTGTGCACTTGTCAGCGGGGTTCAGTTTGCCCGGGCAGTGCTTCCATTGTCTCTTAGTTGACATGTCTTGAATTTCAGCCACACGGTTGGCCACGAATGTGCTGAATCTTCTGCTCTCATTCGAGATGTATCCCAGGACGACTTTGCTGTCGCTCCAGTAGATCACGTCTGCTTGGGCCATGGACGGGAGCTCTCTCAACATTGCATCCACCAGTCGCACGGCAAGCACTGCCGCTTGCAGTTCGAGTCTGACGATGGATAGCTGTTTCAGTGGAGCAACCCTCGTTTTGCTGATGATGAACGCGCTGTGATGTGTCTGATTGTCTGATTCCGTTGTGCGTAAATAGGCCACCGCACCGAAGGCATTTTCTGAAGCATCACAGAACACGTGTAGCTGTTTTTTCCCAGTCGGTTTGCTTGCTGGGAGCAGACATCTGTCGATGTAGACTTCTCTCAGGTTCGGCAGTTCTTGGAGCCAGCTCTCCCACTGCAGCCTTTCATTACCTTCCAACTCCTCGTCCCAGTCGAGTTG